AAAGATGAACCCTGCTCCATCTTGGTCCCAGTGTAATAATGAACTACAGCCAAGAAACACGCCTATTATTTCTGGATCCCTTTCCTAACAAAACAGTACCCATGCAATTATACTTTCTGTCTACATACCTATCAAATCTCCTTCATAACTTTTGAACCCAATGGCCAATTTGAAATAAATTGTTCAGAAGTCTTGGAGATACTAAATTATCGCAAGTGCCTTTTTTAAAATCAGTTGTTGTGCAGAAGACAGGGAACTTTTAAATGACCTCATTACAGAGAAAGCTAGGAGAGCTCGTCCCCTAATTGAATTGCTGGATCGCCAATCAGCAAGCACACGGCTTAATGCAAGCTACGCAGTATGTCGTCTCTTTTCCAGAGGAAGAAGTTGGAGACATGGAAGGGTAACCTGGCTACTTCAAGTGGGCTTGGACACACTGGAAGAGGTAAGAAACCTGTGTATGAGCTGGTTGCATTAAAAAGCATAGCTTGAAGGGGATTGTAGCAGGGGAGATGAAGGCAAATCTGTAGGATGCCTCTGTTCACAGAGCAGCCTGAATTTCTCTGGTCTTGTCCCTTCAGATGCCCTGGAAAATATGATGATGAACAAACAAGCGTGAGGCCTGAAATGACAACTTTAGGCTTTCTCTGGAAGGAAGCAGTACTTCCCAAACTGTGATCCCTTTCCAAACACGCAACACTACTACTTCTCTCTCAGGTTCACAGCCCTGCTTGGTGCTGTGTTTTTAGTTTGAGAGTAACAGCTCTAGACCCTACGGAAGAATAGGTCACCTATAAACATTATGAATTTCTCTTTGGAATCTGTTCAATTCCTACTGAGCTGGATGATTAATAGTAACAGATCCTGCAAATAGAGTCTTTGATACTTTGAGCCCATTCAGAGTCATCGAGCAGTAGAAAAGGGGCAGAAGGAAAACAAGAATGCAGAATCAGCTTAACATGCCCTCCTGAGGCTCACTAAGCTCCCAGATAAGCCAATGCTTTGTCCAGAAGTTGTTTTTTTCTTTCAACTTCCAAATAACAGCCCAAATAAAGAGTTATAGTCGTCCATCTTGGAGCTGACTAAGATTAGGAACATTCATCACCAAGACTGGCACTTACTCAAAGATGGATGATGGCATCAGGCCACTGAAGTACCAGCAAAAGCTGATAGACAAATATTCTAATGAACTGTTGCTCTCCTGACAGTGCTGATAGCATCAGGAAGTGTGTGACATATTTTGAGGGCTTGTAATTGTCTGCACACATTTCACAGACCAACCAAACAAATTTTTGAGGAAGATATGCTCTAGCCACAAATGTTTTGAAGGTTTCTTGAGAATCTCTTGTGAACGACTGCCAGTGCAAGTCTTGAACTGGGCAGCATATCAATAGAGCTGCATTTGTTCCAGCACTTAAAATGACTTACATTGCAATAATTATGGTATGAAATACTCTCTTATTCTCTTTCAGAAGTTTCACCCATTGCTAATTTGCCTTCAAGAACCAGTTTGTGTGGTCCATATGGAGCTAGACCACATTTGTGATATCCGATCCCAGTTGAATTTATTTTTTCCACAATCAGGATGCTTTGTGAGGAGATGCCAGTGCCAAAATAACAACAGGTACCCAAAGAAGGCTGACATCAGAGAGTCAAAGCTGGCTCCTCTCCTTCCCTTTCTCATCATGCTTGAAGGATCCTCTTTCTGTAGCCTTTGATAAGCTTTCAGTTGTAGAGCTTTAGGGCTTCCTAGTGTCACAGCGTGCTAGATCCACTGCTGAGGCTGAGTTAGGGGATGAGGCTGAAATACCCTCAAGAACAGAAATACCTGCACCAGCAGGGTCTGCACCTAACACCCTATTACTTAGGCTGAGTGGGTGCACTGGTGCAAAGAGGACGACCAGGTGAAAAACCCTCTGTTCAAACTTCTTGCTTTAATCCAAAATGTCAGTAATAAGAAATGTTAAACATACTTGGTAGAATTGTAGCTAAACACAGATTCTTCCCTCTCTGCTTTCACCACAGTTATCCCCCACACAATCTCCAAAGACAGCGATAGGGATTAAAGGTAAATCAGCTGAAGATGGCAGTCGTCTTATTCAGTGCTCTCGCCGCTTCTGGAAAATTGCTATCCATCCTCAATGCCGCTCATGAACAAAGGGAAAACAACTGAATACATATCTTGTTATGAATAGCTCTGCAAATAGCTGGTATTATTTCACCTGTGAAAGTTAGGCCTCTCTGCTTCTTATCTCTGACCATAAAGGGACAAAAATGTAGCATTATCCATAAAATGTCACATTTACCTACTAAGAACCCATAGCTGTTTGTAGAAGAGTGACTTACAAGAATGGCTACTAGCAGGATGAGGGTTTTAAGAGGTTGAGTTTAAGATCACAAAAGGAAGAGAGGTAAAATGGGGACACGAAGACATTAACTGAAAGATGCTGAATTATTTCTGCATGAGAATATGGAGTATCAGTAGGAATCCAGAAACCAAATGGCTAAGGTACCTTGAAAGATGAGGATACAAATGATACTAGGCAGGTGAGCATTCTGCATACATCAAGACAAGGTAAGTGAAGATATTATGTGGGCACATCTGATTTCATAGAGATGCAGCGAACAGACATATTTGAAATTTCTGAACACAATGCTATGTCATGCTCCTGAGAGATCCATTCATCCCAGTTGTATACGGTGCTGTTCTTGGTGTGAAGAACCATGTTCTGAAGAGTGAAGTAATCTCCCGTCTAACACACAAAAGTGGCTTTTATGCAGACTGTGATTTTTTTGTACTACACGTTTCTCCCCATTAAGTTTCTCTCCAAATGTGAAGCTCAATACACAACACAGTAGTAAGTCCTGAATTGATAATTTTCCATGGAGATTAGACTTTCCGTTGCTCTGACGATACTATGTTCAGAATTAGATGGGCTGGTTTTAGCAAGTGGATTTCCTACAGTCTGCTGCTGAATGGCACTGCACAGAGGCACAATGACATCAGTGTAACCTCACTGGATAGAAGCTTTCTTTTTGTTCCGCTTCTTGTTCCTGCCTACAGCTTTTAGGAATTACTATAATACGATAATCAGTAACATTATTTAACATTTCCCAGGATATATTTCTGAGAATTATATATATTTTACATAAGACTCTACAAGGATTAACAGAAAATATGGAAAAAACATATGGAATCAATAATATACTGTTCTTGTAGCTCCCAGAGACCCCTGACAGGTAAAAGAATGTATTTTACTAGGCGTTATATGAAAGCAGAACAAAAGGAGCCCCTCACTTGACTGCCTTACACAGTAATAGGCATTAACAGACTTAAACTACTGTTTCGAGTTATATTCAGACCTCCTAGAAGGTAAGTATGTGCGATGCTAGTTTACAAATGATGCCAACTATCTTTGTGACAGTCAGAAAATTAGAAAGAGATTTTACCATTATTCTCCCCATGATGAATTTCAGAATTACCCTGACTAGGACAAACCGTAATAAACAAATGTAAATGGGTTTGCAGAGCGTGAGACTCGGCTAAAGGTCAAATCCTCGTTCGTGAAGTCGGAAAGAACTGTTGAAGGGTCTGAAGCTGGGATAGCCGGCTGTGTCAGCCAAGCCACATCACCGTCGGGCACCACCAACCTGCAGAAGCAGTTCTCGCTGGAGTACAATAACCAACAGATGCTTCTGCTAAGGCAGCTCATCCCAGCTTGACTCTATCCTTATACTTGTCATTTTTATAGACTCAATGAGACACAAAACTTAATGCTACTCTTGCTTTAGCCCCCAGGAGCTGAGCATTGCGTTGGTGAAGCTAAAGAAGGGGGAGATGTCTTCTCACAGCACCACATATTATTAAGAGATAATCTTATTACTCCCAAGTGGATCAAAGCTAAGTTACTGTAAGATATTTTTAACCATATTTAATGTACAAAGTAAACTGACTCATAATGAAACTATTGATTTTGAGTTGAAACCAAATTACTTCAGCTCAGGGTGGATAATTCACTGCTAAACACAGCACAATTTCTGTACAAAAATAAAAAGGGTTCTACCGTTGTTATGGATTCGCTCCAGGAGCAATGTCCTGAAGCACAGAAGCAGTATCAGATCGCTTATTTGGGCAATACAAAACATGAATGGCAGACAGGGAGTTGACAATGAAACATATCCTTCAAATAGTAACACTAGAAAGTATTTGGATGGAATAACAATGTTCAGCACTCACAGAACTTTGTAGCTTTACTGTCTTTTTGGTAAAACATATATACTGTATTGAAACAAATCACAGAACATTCACTGGCAGCCACGGTTTAAAACGTGTTCTGTAACACAAAAGATGAAAAGATCATCTTTCCCGTCTGTCTGGATTTAAATGACTTACATTTGATAAATAATTTTTTAAACATCAGTATGCCAATGGTAACATGAGTGATCATATTTTTCAGATGTTTTTAATTTGCAATTGGAGATAAAAATACACAAACCCATTTCAGTATTTTTTACATGCAGATAATAAATGTACTGCTTAGGGTAGAAGTGTTCATGTATCATTACATAATTTTATTTCATGTTTGTTATTTCTATGGGTAAGATGTCTTATTCCATTTAATATGTTACATCTGACTAACGGCCAGAGTGGATTTGATAAAACAAAAATGTTCTGCCTATTACATTGTTAGTAATGGCTCAGTTTCCCTATTTCCCCTTAGAATTTGGACACGAAAATAAGTCTACATTTCTTTAAAGCATGCAGGCAGCTGAAACACACATATTTGCATAAGTTGCAACACTGAGTGAATGGCAAAAGCCATGCAAACCACTGAGCATGAGGAATATACTGTGGATAATGGAGGGGAAAAACAAAAGAGATGAAAAGGAAAAACAAACCATGCATCCATGAAAGGAATGGTAGGCACTGGTGGAAGAATAAGTGAGCACCTCAAGGTGTAGAGAAAAAAAGGACAGATACCTACCCCAACCTGCGCTATCTAGCTACCGACCTGTGGACTTATAGTATCACCAGTTGGCTCACCAAATGGATCACTGTTGGATGAGGCCTGAGACCCATCAGGCTAGAATACAAGAACATAACACCTTTTTTTCTCAACAATAAGAAAGTGCAAAGTCAACATGAGGTTATTTTCATGCTGTGGGCATAACAAGTACATCCTATCTCATGAAAACCAGAAAGTGAGACCTCACCACTGTTCTCAAAAGCCGTAATGGTTTCCTATAGGTGATGGAGGCAGAACAAGGCCACACACCAGTACCTGCTGGAGCCCATGCAGGAGCTGCCACAGGCTTCAGAAGGTGCTGGATCGACAAACCAGAGCTGCAAAAGGCCCTGAAATCCAGTGAATGTATGTGAATTGGGAAGAGTCCAAGCCTGTGTTATTTTCTACCTTTGGGTCCTTTTTTCCTAAGACTCCCTCTTGCCTGTGACTCACTTGGGCTCTTATCTGCCTAAGATACCTTGTGAATTAAAGTCATTGCTTGGATAACATTTCTTGCTTTGGTCTACTGAGTCTAAGGCAAACAAATCACATACTGAGGGCCAGAACATTGAGGAACGTAACTAGGCAAGCAACTGGGATGCAAGAATGTGCAAGGCAACATCAACCATCATCTTTTAACACACAGACTCTCACATCTCTTTCGGCAGCCTCAGCATGTATGCTGTTTTACCTCCGACTCCCTTACCATCAACAAGGGAATGCTGGTATGCTGGAAAGGACATCCGATACGACTACCATATATAACCTTACTGTGACCTTGGTTCCTTGTATGCAGTATTAGTGCATATCAACATAAACGTCATGCTTCTAGCTGTCAAAACTGAACTGGGAAGTGAATGCTGTCTGCAGCTCCCCCTTAAATATCACCCAGCCCAATTAGAATAGTTATTTCTAACACTACCAAAAAACATTTAAGTAACTTCTGTCTTTTCTAGCTAAAAAAGAGCTAATCAGTGTTTAGAAACTTTGTTGCTACTCACAGCCTCTTGCTCCTCACTTTTGCTTGGGCTTTCAAACCCCTCTTCAAAGAGGTCATCTGCAGCAGGATCACTGGTATGGGATGCTGATGATTTTGATGGAGAACTCTGCCTGGGTGCAGGGGTTGGAGCTAAACAAAGATGAAGGTAAAAGCAACAGAATATATATCCGTTAATTTGCTTAGAAAGACACAGCAGCACAAAATTTGCTCATGCTGTAGAGCCCTCAACTTTTACTACCCCTGGAAATTGCTGAAAGAGATGAATTTGAACACAGAAGTCATTATCGATTCCATATATTTGATTTCATTCAGCCATTTACAAATTAAAGTTTGGCTGCATCTGGCATATGTCTCTAGGAACCAGGGAGATGCCACTACCTTACATAAAGCATGCATGAGTCGTCTGCCCTATGGCAGGTAAGCGAAACAGAAGGTCCCTGGCTGGCCCCTGGTAAGCTCTGTCTCATGAATTCCTCTTTTCAGCAATCTGCAAAATCCCCCATTTCCATGCTACGAACAAGATAAGCTTATTCTACGTCTCTTCAGTGAATTTCCTCATGTGCCCAATACATTGAGCTATTAAAATAAATACCCATCCTCTAATTTCTGCAAAGCATGGCTTGAATGGGACATATGTGAAACCATTTGTAAGGCTGAATGCCACGGGCATTTTCCAACCACCTTTCATGTCCCTAGCACAGAACATGTCTGTCGTCTTAGAAATTAAATTTCAGACTGCAGCTATCAGGACTGTGATTTCAGTGGTCTCCGAAATTTCCTCTCTGACACTTTTCTTTACACCTGGAACACATTTAGTAAGCTAGACCACGCCTGACAGTTCTCAGTCCACATCTGTGTTGCAATTTACTGTATCAAAACAAACCCCAAAAAACAAATGCTTTAAGGAATAGTTATGTTTGAGGAAAGGTATGGCTGAAAGCAAGTAAATACTCACGTGAATTTGTAGATGGTGTCGTGGAAGTCACAGGAGTCAAATTTAACTGAGAGATGTCAAAGTCATCACAATCATCTGCTTCCTGTGCCATCCCAACTTTGTTAAAGTAACTTGAGAAGGCCTCTGAGGTACAACTGAGGGAAGGCTGATCTGGTTTTCTTGATGGCACTGGTGGAGGCTGAGCCATCTGGAAATCTTTAAACATTTCTTTTCCCATTTTCTGTCTGGGCCTGTCTGTCTGTGGGCTCGATCTGTTGGAATCACTTGTGGGTGGAACAGTAGCTATAGGAGCAATGGTACCTTGAAACATGGCTGCTTGTAAAGGCAAAACAGTTTGTGTTGGCATGAAGGCAGTTGGTTGGAACTGACCAGCTACAGATGGCCACGGTTGCTGAGTAGGAGGAAAAATCCCGGGTTGGCCCCACGCTATCGGCTGTCCTCCCTGCATCACCTGAGCAACTGGAGGCTGAGCACCCATGGCCAACTGCTGTTGAACAAGTGGTTGCTGTCCCCAGAATGAGGGCAGAACAGCTCCCATGGCAACATAACCTTCAAAGAATAAAGAGAGAAGGGGGAAAAAACAAAGGATGAAAGTTTTTAACACTACTGTCAAGAGGATGCAGAAAAAGCTACACAAGAAATCAGAAACATGCATGCTACATTAGTGATCCCAGAGCTTCAGCACACTTGAAAACTAAAAGACATGGTTGAATTCACATCATTGAACAAATACTTATATACAGAACCACAAATTGGTGGATATTTGCAATTACCCTTCCCCTCATCTGAACAAAAAAGTTCTCTTCCTCAGTGAGTACCCGCATGGGTCTGTGAAGACCTGTGTGCAAGGACCTTGTCAGCAGCTCACCATCTGGCAGCTCCTTTCCCTGGGGCTCTGTCAAAGCAGAGCCGGGATGAGTTTGGTCAAATCACCAGAGCCACAGCAGCTCCCCAGACATTCCCTAAACTCCTCACCCCTGAGCTCTGCAGGCTCTCCTTGCTTCCCTGACTCCCCCCATCCTTTGCCTTTCACCTCTGCCTGATCTGTTCCTCTCGGAGCAGGGATCCCTGGGACTGAACATGATGTGCTGGGTCATGCTGGGATGCAGCTCATCTTTTCAGAGCAGCTTTACAGGCTGTTAAAAATTGAGCAGCCAGAGGGAAAGACGAGGGTGCCCAGGACTCCCATCTGCATAGCTTTGCTGCAGTTCCTCATCCTTTTTACTTTTATTCTTCATTGGTGAGAGTGACTCGAACACCAGCCAACTCCTGCCAACGGCACAGCTACGAAACTGGTTCTAAGACCCAGGGAAGCACCTTTTACATGTTAGACGTGCCCTATAATGACAGTGTGACCTCCTAGACAGAGAAAGACTCTGTGCCACCTCTTCTGACACAGTCACTGTCCAAACCATCAGGACTCTGAAAAGCAAAGCAAGTGTCTCAAACTGCATAGCAAAAACACAGAGCCCACATGAATTCAGATTCACGCCCCCCCATTTAGTTATTACCTCCTTACTTGAGTACATCAAAAAGGTCACGAGCTTCTCCTGTTCTATATACCTAATAACAACAAACAGCTGCAGGTTCTTACACTAGCACAAAACCTCCTCAGTTGGGGAAGAAATTAAAGATTAAAACTAAAATTATAACTGCTTTCTGTCAGAACTGAACCCTCTTTTCAAACTACCAAGAGTTTGACTGTGTATGAATTACATGATTGGGTGCTTTGCTATTTAAAATGGAAAAAATAAAAATCAGAAAATACTAGGACTGTAAAACTGTTACAAATTAAACCATGTCATACTATTATGTTCCACTGACAGAAGTAGTATGCTTTACAGATATGCTGTTTCACATTTAAATTAACGATTCACTGCTAATACTTTACAATACGCAAACCCTCTTTAACTTCTAATGCTGTCATAGCTTTAAAACTCCATTTCTAACCCAAGTGTTTTTCTGAGTCCTCCTGTACGTGTTCCCCTTTGCAAAATTGTAAAGGGAAAAGCCCAAAATAGAGTAGAAACAGAACTTTGAAAAACTAAATTAATGAGTGATGAAAGAAGATTAACTCAGATATATAACTATTTCAATAGGTGGCTATGATGGATTTTCCAGATGTCCTTTTATCTTGCCCCCACTGTAACCTCATCCAAGCAGCAAGGGTTTTCATCTGACATTACCCCCAAACACTTCACCATCAGCATAACCCTTCTGAGACGCAGTGGCTAATCTGCGGCTGCAATGCAGCCCGTCAGAGAAGGAGTTCACCAATTAGAAAGTCACCGCTGAATGATTCAAGGCACTCCTCCTTCTTTTGTTTTTTTCCCTAAGTAAAGCTGAGAGCCCTGCTCTTGCAGTGCTCGAGTATTCCAGAGAGAGATCAGCCGTCAAAACCACATGCCTTGCTTATCTGCAGAATGCTACACAGATTTAAAATTTTGAACATTTTGAGAAACATGGAAAAATCTCAAGGAAGTATCAGGATTTGAGTAAGTGGAATACTTTTGAAATACAATCAAATTCTCCGTGTTTCATTCTCTACTGGAGACAGCATAGGATATTCATTGCTACCACAAAGAAAGCTAAACTAAATGCTTTTTTTTCCTCTCTTGTTGCTGTACCTAGAAGGTATAGTGCCTAGTAGGTATGTTATCCAGATGGCCGAACTATGGTTGAACTCATAATGACTTTTTTGGCTTCTGCTTTTAAAAATGTGGGTAAATTCAAAATACCATACTCCCTGCTTCTTAAAGACTTGTCTTGCCTTGCCCTGCAGCACTGTCCTCAAAATCTTTCCTCACTTCCACTGTACTAAATTAATGCCCTGAGTACTGAAATGCAAACAAGAGCTCAGAACCGATCACCAAATTTGAGTCAAGCTCATATATCCCCAGATTTCTTACCTGAGGGTACAGCAGCAGTGCTGAAAGGTACAGAACCAAACATGTCTGTACTAGCAGGAAGTGACTGGGATGAAGATGGGATAAAGGCATCACCTGGAGTAGCAGGAGTCTGCAAGAAAACAGGAGTAAAATACAATGATGACGCAGCAGCTGCAGCTTCTGCAGCACATACTGCTGTCACGTCATCCGTAATTCAAAAAATACGGCCTTGGAGGGAAGAATGTGAAATAAAAAAGAATGGAGAGATGTAGAAGGAAAGAAGAAATAGAAATAACAGAATTTGCTGGAGACAGGAGAAAAAGAAAATGAGAAACCTTTCACTAGAGGAAAAAAATAAAGTAAAATTTCCCTGGAATACATCACATGCAAAATATTGACAATATTGAACAAAATATTGTTCTTTCTCCAGAATACAGAAACTTGTGATTCCAGGTGTTAGGGGACAAACAGTAGAGGCAGAAGACCAAGGCATTAATGGAAGAAAGAGTAAAGACAGAAATATCTGTAGGATTTATGGGAAAGGGAATACATATTGCTTCCACTTAACCAACAGGACCAGAACCATAGTTTAACCTACATTAAAAAGGAGAAATCCAATCTAACTGAGCAAGCTAAGTTTGAGGAGACAGGACTTTGAACATGTAGTCCCAGGCATCCTCCAGAATACCTTGGAGATCTGAGGTTGACGACTTCACAACTCAATTCAATTTTCTCAGTATATTCATACTCCCCTACAGCTTGATGTAATGTTCAAAAGCTTTATAGAAAAAAGTTTGGGTTTTTTCACTTTATGATGCAAAAAAAGCATGCTGAAAAATTTTGCTTTGCCCTCAAAACACATTCAGCCCTGCCTCTCTTCACTGTTTTGTCTTCCTTCCTTCAACAGCAGTGCTGGGATATGTGCTTCGTGGAACCAAAGAGACGTGATATATAGGGCCGTAACTGGATCTTCCTGCAGTGCAGGGGAGAGAGCGAGAGCAGTGAGGCATGCCCCTCTGATAAGGAAGGAGATCTGCTGCTCAGGTTATATCTCAGGGGACACCTAGCGCTATCCCTGAAAAATAAAAACTGAAGATATTTTTGCACATCATCATTCAATTTGCTTCACTTGTATTTTGTCACAGCATAAAAAGTGCTTTGAAATCCTCCCTACTGCAATGGCTGATGACCTCAACTGTAAATGTGCTCAATAAATGTGCTGAAAATAGCATGTAGAAAAGTGCACAGTTCAGTTTTGCTGGATACTCACTGGGGGAGAGGTTACATCAGGAGGAGTGGACATGTCCCCAAAAAGCTCTAGTTGGGTAACAGCCTGTAAAGAGAAAAAAACCAAAAACATGTCCATTTATCTTTTGAGGAGAAGAAACTGTGAGTTAACTAGTTACAACTTGTAAAGTTAACTAGTGACAGCTAGCAATATAAATTCCTCAAAGCTCCAAATGTCAAGTCCCATATGGAGGAAGCACATGGATTCAAGCTCTGGGATTTTGATATTGCTGATGGACCCAAATAGGCAGCAGCTGACGCCATAAAAATGAATCTGTAAGAAATTCTCCACCATAAAAAAATTAATAAAGCCTGAAAAAACTGGAATTTGATGCATTACTGTTCTGTCCTTAACATCAGTGAGCACAGAACATCATTTATGGCCAGCCCTTTTCCCCAGCTCCTCTTCTAAACTCCCATTTTGAGATCTTCAGACACGGCAGCAGACTGCAGAAGTGACAGAAGGATACAGAAGGGCTTTTAAAGTGCTGCCTGATTTCCCCTTGCCCATGGGACAGGTGTGACCTGGATAAGTAGACTTGAAGGAGGATGCACAACTGGGTTATAAGTTTGTAGTTCTACATTTAACTCATACTAGAAATGTTTTCTCAGGGTGTCCTTCAGTTTGATCTCAAAATAGGTCACCAATACAGGTCTCGCTCAACTGGACCAGAAGGGAAAAAGCACTTTCATAATAGGGAGCACCTTGAGTGGCTGCATAATCAAAGCTCCTTCACATATTCTGGAGTAAAACAACCCTCTTCCACCTGTCTGCATCTGCAAATCAGTTCACTGGAGTCCAGGGGTGGTAAAGCATGGATCTCCTACAGCTCTGCAGGAAAACTAAGAACATCCTTACCAGGGTGGCTATACTGGAAAGCTGCAATAGGAACCCAAGAATTACTCCTTCTGCACTACCTTTCTTGCGCTTGCTGCAAATCTTAATTGGGTTCACTGAATGTCCTCCCCAGCTTAAGCACGTAAACTTCCAGCCTCCTATCACATACACAGGCTTGAAATTCAGTTGAGTCTTGACCTGCAAACATAGGCAACACATAGCGCTTTGGACGTGAACCCCACTGGCCTGTCACAACCTACCAAAGGAGCAAGATCGCCTTAAGATCTTTTCCCCCTCAACCTTTCATTATAAATAATCCTTAAGAAACAAGACTATCATTCAAAATACAACAATTTCAAAGGTTTATATATTTTTGCAATCCAATCGCTACTCCCGTTTACAAAAGCAATGCCACAATCAGTTAAACCTGGAATTTGTCTAGCAGCTTGGATGATTCTCAGCTTTATGCCTAACGATGCACCTAGAGGTGAATTATTTTGCATTTCCTTACATCACATCTTATATTAAATAGATCCCATTGCTTTAGTGATATCATGATATGTTTTCTTCTTAGGGGCTTATATATCCCTCTAAGTATCTGAGTGGAAATGGAAGAAGGAAAAAAGAAAAAAATCCATGTTTTCTTCAGGTTACACTGATTCTAGTGTACATTACTAAAATGAAGTAGGTTCAGCAAACAAAACAAAAGCCCGTAAGTCACTTCCGCAGTGTGTGCAAACATACTAGGCAGGTATTGTTAAAATGTTGGAGTAATGACAACAGCAGCACTCGTTTGGGATTGACTTCAAGCCTCCTGTAGGCACTATGGACTCACAAGATGCCAGGTGACACTGAATCACAGAAAGAGCCACTTTCTTCTTCTCTCTCCAATTGCTTGTTCAGCACCACCCCTAAATCTGCCCTTTTCCTGCATGACTGGTGAGCTCGTCACAGTTTTCTCCTCTCTGACTTGTTAAGAGATAGCTGGTTTCCTTTCGAGGAGGCCATGAGCAAAGGCTCCCAACAGTGCTCCCATCCCAGGTGAGGAAGCAGAAGAGCAAGCCAGAGGGGCTTTGAAAGGGCAAGGGACACAAACGAAGAGGAAATGTCTGTAAAGTTACACGTTTTATTTTGTGGAAAAATTATTATACGTTTCATATCAATACCAAAAATTGCTAGTGAGTACACTTTTGAACTCAGGATTATATGGTATGTTTTTGAAAGGTGGCAGCTCAGATCTCTCTTCCTCAATACCTCTGTAAAATGGGAATAATAATACTTTTCAGAGCGCTTGAAGGCGATGGATCTTTGGAAACTCTTCACAGATATAATTCTGTTAAAGCTCTTAAGAGAAAGTCTGCGGATGGATTTCTAAACAGGCAGCTGGAGAGAGTGATATGAAAGCTGACTTCACTATTTGTTGTAATAAACCCTCATTCACAATATTCCCCAAGGAAAAGGAATATATTTACAGGGGAATTTTTCTCAGAACAGCAACTTATATGCAACAGGAGCTATAGAACTACATCAGAGGATGTAAATAGAAATTCAGTGGGAGCACAACTTCAACATTTACTAGAGACAGTCTTAAGCAGCAACACTCGGTGGGGGTATTTTAAAGTCCAAAATGGTTCAGATATGAATTCTGGCTTGTTTCTACAGCCCAATTCTCAGCCTGAATAAATGAATGCATCTTCTCTGACACAGACATAGTTTTATCCACTTGCAGCACACGAGGTTCTGGACACCAAATAGTTATCGTTTATTTTTTGTGATTTCACTGTCACTACAGAACTGATTTTAGCCATTATGCTTCTTTAAATTATTCACATCTGATATTAGCTATGTTCTAGCGAAGTTAATCCCAAGCCGAACATTTTCAAATTGCACTATCTCTACAGGTGATTTCATCTATATTTCCTTAAAATATTTTTAGTGTCACAACCTTACCTGAGTGACTGAGACAAGATTTTCATCAATGTCCAGCAATAAGTTTCCATTCTGCAGCTGTAAAGCATGATTTATGAAATGAAATGAATGATTTATGAAAATGACATGAATTTCTGAGCATGAAAATGATAACCTCCATAATTATTGACTTCACTACTGAAATGAAAACCCTTACCATCCTGCAGTGAGCACAGATATGAAATCACACAGTCAAAATGGGGAGCTTCAATGCCGCTAGAACGCGGGGCAAGCATACGCTTTATTTATGCTAAATCTCATCTTCTGGTGTATAAAGCAATTTCAGCGCTTGTACCATAACTATTTATTTTCCCAGGTATTTATTAATTCAGCAATAAACATTCCCAGTGAGCTCTGATCCTGCTTAAATTAATGGAACTTTTCACCGCCTAGGTGAAAGAAAGGATTTAACATCCTCAGGGGAAAAATAATTGAGTTCTGGACAACAAAAGCCCTAAAAGCCAGTATTTTCACTAGGAGAAGTATAACATCAATGTAAACATATTTAAGACATGTATTTTCTTATCATAGTCATTTTTAAAATTAGTCAATTTAAGTTGTATTTAAATCCGTAGTTTGGGTGTATGTAAATATACGTGGGGATATACTGCCCACACATGCACGCTCATCTATATCCACCTACACATTTAACACAAATTATCACTTCAGTGTCCTCAGAATGTTAATTTCAGAAAACATTTAGTGTAGTGCTGGAGATGTTATTTCTTAAGAAGCAAACATAACAGCAAGCTATCAAAAATCAAATCTTAGGTGACAGAAGCTTCATATAAGCCTGGAATGCTTCTCCCCTCCCACCTTCATCTCATCATAGCCCTGAAGAAAAGAAAAAGGCTGGCAAAAGGCAAAGCTAAGAGAAGAAAAGGTCACCATGCACAATCAAAAAAAGGACCCTGTCCTGGCACCGACTTGGAGCTGACAGTGCGTTCCCTTGCCCCCGGTAAGGGAAGTGTGAAAAAAGCTGTGCCCATTTATCCAAAGAACTCCACAGATGTTGAAAATATTCTTAACTGAGGGGTTTACACCTTCAGGAAGGACCAGTTTGGGCACGTAGTTAAGCACTTGTTGTTCTGACAGCCCGGTTGGTGAATGCCCCCTCCTCCAGCACCCAGGGATGCCGCTGGTGTGGCTCCGAAGCAGACCCTGCCCCTGCCACACTGACGGCTCCGTGAAACCAGCTGAGAAACGACCCCCTTCTCGGCACTGAGGAACATGCGCAGTGTTCCACGGACCATTAGGAATTCCCACCTGTGCTACAGCAAGACCTCACAGAAAACATTTGCCCAGCATGTCACACGCATCCCCAAGTGCCCAATTATCATGTACCACTCCAGCTGCATCTTCCTTCAGCTCATGTTCTGCATCGCGCACGGGTGAGGAGACACCTCCTAAGGGTGAAATATCCCTGTCTATTAGAGCATGGAACAGGCTTCAACGGCAACCGCGCCGAGGCTGCAGCACGGCTACAGAGGGCAGAATTTGGCCCTCTGAGCCTTCCTCTGGTTCAGCTTCTCAACACAGAGTGCTTAACCTTCACAATTAAAGTCAACAATCCTCTCCCTCCTTCCCCACTGCACGACAGAAAATAACCAGAAGCCTGAAAAGACGCTCCAATCCTTGATCTACCTTTAGGACTGTTGTCCGTGGATTCCGCCACAGTCATGTAAAAGCTTGTTTTAATTATTCAAAAATGCATCATCTCCTTGCATATGGAAACACCCTTACAGCTTACTCAACCAGGAACACGCCAGTCGCTCCCAACCAGCCATGCAGGCCAAGGCGGAAGAAGGAGTATTAATCCTTGTATCGCAGTGACATTAAACCCATAATGAAAGCTCCATCTTTCTATACAAGCACGTGAGACATACTGCAAATCTTTTAAACATGAAATATGTAAATCTGGCTTCTTAAAGCAGCAGCAAGCCTTTTAAACCACTCCAGTAATGAAATTCCTCGTGACACTTCACTAATCACTAAAGAAAAACGTATTAGCTAAGTTCTAGAGAAAAACCAAACAGAAGTAATGGTAAGAGACAAGTAAACTGCAGCTTTCATAAATCTGAACCAAAACCGATCCACCTCCACTACAGTATTCCCTCTGATCACCAAGTACTCTCAAAAACATCTTTTCTAAGCAATGCAAAAGTCGATTTAAAAAAAGAAATCTCAAAAGAGTCTTCTGCACTCATAGGAGTGTGAAGCACCTTACTTCTCCCACTCCT